TAATCTCACAACACATGGACAGACTCAACCACAGTTTCATCTGGGAAACTGTCAGCATCCTTGACCAAGCTAAATCCAAAAATGCTAGGGAATTCCTGGAAGCTTAGCATTCAGACAAATCAGCCATCAATAGACACCACTCCATTCAAAAGAGGCAACAAAAAGCTAGGAAGGAAACAAAAAAGACCAGAACACATCCTCTCTAGCAGCCAACACCCAGATAAGCAGGGATTAATACCAGACAAATAATCAAGCAGAAAACAATATCCTAATCCAGGAACTACCAAGGAGAAAACTACACCCCCACCAACACTGGCAGGGCAAGCTACTGAATATAAACAGGGAGCAAATCCCACACTCACTAACACTGATGATGTTACCTAGTCAGGTAGTAAAATGTCTACAAGCAAACAGCCAAGCTCAGAGAGCAGCAAGGACTCCACAAAATATTCTACTGCTTAGAAAAAGAAAGCAGTCAAATGACAAGGGTAGAAGAACAGGATAAAGATGGAAGAATGAATCGTTCTCTCACCCAACCATTTGGAGCCCAGAAAAATAATCCCAGGATTACCATCAGTGCTAGTCTGATAATATAATGTAGATTTCTCCCCTTTTGGACTACAAAGATTGTTTTATATACTATGCTAGCTGGGTGGTAAAGAAGTTAATGCACTGCCATTTGGTGTTTGCTCAGTTTGGACTGAAACTGCCCTTGAATATTGATTAAAAAGTTTTATGAAATTATTTAGTTTTATTGAAAAATCAGTTTTTTCCCCATAAAATTAAGCAAATAACCAAACAATTAGGAGAGGACTATCTGAAAACTTTGCTGGACCCCACGATAGTGGACAATTTCTGTCCAGTATCCAACCTCCCCTTTTTGGGGAACGTGATTGAGAAGGTGGTTGTGCAGCAGCTTCAGATGACCTTGGATGAAGCAGATTGTCTGGATCCTTTTCAGTCAGGGTTCAGACCTGGGTATGGTACAGGAACAGCATTGGTCGCACTTTTGGATGATCTCTGGCATGGGCGGGATGGTGGCTGTACATCCATCCTTGCTTTACTTGACCTCTCGGCAGTTTCAATACCACTGACCATGGTATCCTTCTGGACCAACTCAGAGAATTGGGGGTGAGCAGCACAGTATTGTGCTGGTTCACCTCCTTCCTCCAGGGTCAGTTCCAGTCGGTTGTGAGGGGAGGAGAGATCCCACCCCTGTCCCCTGCTATGTGGGGTGACACAGGGGTTAGTGCTCTCCCCTCTCCTATTTAACATCTACATGAGACCGCTGGGTGAGCTCATCTGTTGCCATGGGGTGAGGTATCATCAGTATGCTGATGATACTCAATTGTACATTTCCGCCCCTGGCGACTTAAGCGATGCTGGGGGCGTCCTATCTTGGTGTCTGGAGGCTGTGAGGATCTGGATGGGGAACAACAGGCTTCAACTGTACCCTGGCAGGACTGGATGGGGTCACACTGCCCCAAACAGACCCTCTGAGCAATCTGGGGATCCTCCTGAACTCACGGCTCCTGCTCAGAGAGCAGGTGGCAGTCATGGCTAGGAGGGCCTTTGCACAACTTCGTATTGTGCGTCAGTTGCACCCATTCTTAGGCCAGAGGGACCTACTCACGGTCATTCATGCCCTGGTCACCTCCCACTTAGACTACTGCAATGCGCTGTACATGGGGCTGCCCTTAAAGAGTATCTGGAAACTTCAGCTGGTGCAAAATGCAGAGGTATGAGCAGTTATGTGTGTTTCTAGTAGAACACACGTTACATCTATGCTTTACGAGCTGCACTGGTTACCAGTTTGTTTCCAGGTCCAATTCAAGGTGCTGGTGTTGACCTTTCAAGCCCTTCGTGCCATGGGTCTGGGCTATCTGAGGGACCGCCTCTCCCCGATTTCATCTGCCCATCTTACCAGATCTAGCAGAGAGGGCATGTTACAGTTTCCATTGCCTAGGGAGCTACATCTGGCAGACCCCAAGCGGTGGGCCTTTTCTGCTGTGGCACCTGAGCTCTGGAATCCTCTCCCCCTTGAGGTGAGGTTGGCCTCATCATTGTTGAGCTTCCGGAGGTCCCTTAAAGACTTGGTTATGGCAGCAGGCCTGGGGACCCCAGGGGACGGGGGAATTAGTGAGGTAGCTCCCTTATTTTTAACATCTTTTTATTCTCTCGGTTTTATTTTGCTTTATATATTTTTAATGTATTGATTGTTTTTAGCTTTGTTGCATGCCACCCAGAGTCGCTTGTGGTGAGATGGGCAGCTATAAAAATTGGTTTAATAAATAAATAAAATATTCTCTTTTATGCCTTTGATCTTTAAAGCAAGATTCTACCTTCTGCCCCTAAACTCACAGAGTATTTTAATTTTAATAAATTTTAATTATTTTTATTATTTATAACCTTTTAGCTACAAAGTAAAATGATAACTTATGTCTGGACAACCCAGCATAAGTCGTCATTATGCTTGATCATATATCTTTTAAAAAGTAATGTGTTTGTAATACAATCATAACTTATTCTTAAAACCAGATTAATAAAATATATTCAGCCAACACAGAGGCTGTTTTGAAGTATGTTCAAATCCAAAGCAGGGATAAATAAATAGAAAATATACAAAACAGGGAAGACTTTCTAAGCATGAAACACCAGAGCTCCCTTTATTCCTATAGCAGCAACAGCAGCACATATATAAAAGAAAAAAAAATCCAAATAAACAAACTAATATTGGGCCAACAAGAGGGTAAAGTCTCCTAAGTTGAGGCTCAGCTTGAGGAAGCGTTAGCCAATGAACTCAATTCCTGGTGACTTCTTGTACATACTCCAAGAGGATTTTTTTAGGGAGTAATTTGTGATTGTTTTATTCTAGGATCTTGTAGGTTTTTTACCTTCCGGTCTAGTTTATAGCTATGAGAGTTCTTTGTCTTCCAACCAAATATTAACCAGGTCTGGTGGGATGGGGGCGAGGCAGAGACACACAAGCCCTGTCCTATTTATTGATTTTTATCCCACCTTTATTTTTTTATCAACTCAAGGCGACATACATGCTCCCTCTTCCTATTTTCCCAACAACAACCGTATGAGGTGGGTTGGGCTGAGAGAGTGTGACTGACTCAAAGTTACCCAGCCAGCTTTCATGCCTAAGGCAGTACTAGAACTCAGTCTCCCAGTTTTCAGCGCAGCAACTCAACTACTAACCCAAAGGGGCTTTCATTTCTATGAGTTATAACAGTGCATATACACTCCAAAGGGGCAGGGCTCGCACCCAACACTGCAATGAGCCCACCAAAAACCCTGACCACGTTCCCCAATGCTTGACTTCCAAGTGCAGACAAGATCAGCCTGGGGGAGGAATGCTGTAGCCCACAGAAGTCTATGCCATAACCTAAGACTTTTATATTAGAAAAGATGGAGACTGCACGCATTCCAAAACTAAAGTAAAATAAAGCCTCTTTTCAGTTGAGCTGGACTCCTCGCCACTTCTCAGACAATCTATCTGCTTGGGACCAGTCAGGAAACAGTTTTCCATGTCTTTTTTCTGGGAAACTTTTCCAACCTCCCAGCCTAGGACTTCCTTGTGGTCTCCTCTCCATGCACTCCCTGACCCGGCTGAGACAGGTTCAGCCAGCAGCCAGGATCACGTGGTGCTTCAGATGCTGATGCCCTACAACTCCCAGCAGCCCCACGCAGCCTGAGCTGCACAGCGCTCTCTGGAGGCGCGAGCGGGACGTACAAGTTCCCCGCCCCCCGAAGGAGGCCCCACCTCCGCCCTGCCCAACGCAGCCCCTTCCAAACGCGGAGGGCGCCAGGTTGGGAAGTGAAGCTGCTTTCTCCGGCGCCACGCTCGCCTCCCGCCGCTCCAGGGCAAAACATTGAGCTCCCCCCTTCCCCTTAACAGCCCTTTCAACGCGCCTCCATCTCGGGCAGGTCACGCCGCTTATGGCCTCCGCCCGTCCAGGCCCAAGGCCTCCCCTCCGGGCGCTCTCCGGCCTCCTCCCGTTCCTCAGCTCCAACTGAGGAAAACGCCAGCGAAAGCATCGCCGGAGGGGGGGAAGGTAACCCAGTAGAACAGCCGCCACTCCGCCCTGAGTTCGCTGTCCCGCCCGGCCCGGCCCTCACCGCTTTCTTCATGGTGGCCGCCATGTTGTGGACTGAACCACCTACTCTTCCTCGGCGGGGAACTTGCCCATTTACTCTTGGCTGAGGCTCCTCCCCTGCTTTCTCTTCTGCGCCTGTTCGACCGGGTCGCAGTGAAAGGAAGCGGCTTCAGGGTTTAGTGTGAGGAAAGAGGCATCTTCGAGGACGGTCGGCAGTCAGCTTCCCCCATTTCAGTGGTGGTTGGTATGCCCCAAAAGAGGAAAGGAGGAGGAGGCTGTCGACCGACGGTAGCGGGAGGTGGGAAGCTTCTTTGGCCAGCTGTGATGCCGGCAAGAACCGGCAGATGGCGCAGCGGCCCTGTCAATGATGTGGAGGTTGGGAGAGGAGAAAGGAAAAAAAATTGCATTTTGCAAGATAGATTAAAGGAAAACTCTTTTTCCAGTCAAGTGCAACACACGGGCACATCCCTGCAGCTGCCTTGGAAGAACTTGTCATTTGTTTTATCGAGTCTTTCGGTAGGCCAGCGCATCCGGGCTGCAAAACTCTGGTAGCAAATAGTGCAGATGTCTGGGTTGCCATCTGGGGCTCTGCTGGAGTTTTGCAGCCCAGGGATGGTAGACCCATTCTGGAATGTTTTTCTGGCTTTCCAGTCTAGGCCCCAACCCAGTTTTCCTCGTGGTCTCCCTTGGAAGTGTAAACCAGATGTGACCCTGCTTAGCTTTTTCAGATCAGCCACACATTCAGTTAAGACCATGATCAGATTTTTGTTGTTGGCCAATTGCTGAACTACAGCAAAAGACAAAGTGATGGAAGTTGTTATTGTCTTACAAGTAAGCCACCATTCTTTAAGATGGGGGGGGGGATGATCTCCCCTTTTCTCATATTATTTTAATTTTAAAGGGGGGGGAACTGTTTTCATATAGTTATGGCCACAGATTCTTTCCTTGAGACCTAAGTAAAATATGGCATTTGTCTCAATGATGAACATTGATTTATGAGTTGCCCATAGGGGAAAAAAAATCACAGTTCCTTTTGAGAATATTATTGGAGAAAATGTTGTTTTGCAACATGTCCTCCCCACTATTTTTTATTTCCCCCCCTAAGTATTGGCTTTAATTAAGGCAATGTGGGAGAATTATTTTTATATGGAGGGCTCTTCCAGTCATTAGGGCCCCATTAGTCATTGGGAATGGGCAACATAAAAATAAAGTAAAATAAAGCGATTTCTAGTGTCAGGATTGTTGCACAGATTTGTTTTCTGTATTAGAGTGTAATGATAATAATTTTAAACTTCCTGGACTTGACACCACTAATTTTGCAAAACGCTTGGAAGGGTATATATTTTACAGGATACCTCTATGACTCTTAGGTCCTTGGCTAACACCTGAATCATAGGAGTCAACACCCAATCAATTAGACTGTGATATACATTTGAATGAATAGAATAATCGGAATATAAAATCAAGTGGTAAGTTTGAGAAGGCTATCTTCAAAACATAAGCACACAGGTGGGTTATTAATGACTTGTCAGCACATAATGACCTATTAATCACCAGGGGGAAGTAGTATATAAATAATTAAGGATGCACTCTGTGTTTGTCTAAAAGTCTGCTAATTTCAGATTACTTCCTTCTGTTTTTCTTCCCAGGTGCAAACATGCAAAAAAGAACATGTTTCTGGACTCTCCTCTGGTAGGATGCAATTAGCTAGATGATAATTTTTGCCTATTCCTGTAATATACATGGTTTCCTGTAAATGAATCTTCTTTCCCTTCCAATTATAAAACCTGCTTCATTAATCATTGCTCGGATCACTTTACCATACTCAGGAACACACACATATGCACACAGAGTGCTTCAACCACCCACCATTTCCTTCTAACTTAGGGTTTCAAAATCCTCAAGTGTTTATAAACTTAGATATGGTATCTGGTCTCTGTATATTTTAATAACTGAAGCTGAAATATGGACATGGGCATCTGTGGGGGTCATTGGGGACAAAGGGCAAAATAAATATAACAAAGCAAGCTTTGTCTGTTTTGTAGATGCGCCATGATGATGCACACTTATACAAACACAGGAGGAGTTTGCATCATGTTGGGATGCTTGTTTCCTCATTTTGATGAAACTCAGGTTCTGTGGATGCCTCTGTATGTGAACCCATTATTAACTGCTAGTATGTTGCTAACATAGAAGATAGTCTGATAAAACCTTAGTTGGTTCAAGCAATAACTCCAGAGACATTTGTTTGAATGCAATTAGGGCCTTCTGCCTCATGGCATCCTAAGTACAAAATAGCCTTGCAGAGTGACCAACCTTCTGCTATTGTTGCCTTTTAAATAATAACAACAACAACAACAAGGATAATAAGGAGAAGAATTCAAACACCATTTAAAGGCCATTTGGCTGATGTGATACAAGCATGTTTTAATGGCTTTCCTCTACCGCGCCCTCATCTCAGCCAGGACAATACCTAACTGACTTTGGGCTCAGAAGCTAAACAGGCTGGGATGTGGTGGGTCCTTGGAGGAAAGACCATCAAAAAAATCCCAGGGCTGTACAACTTACATTAGATAAATTTGGGGGGGGGGGATCTTGGAAGAAGATGGGCACTTCCATATTGTTGCCCCAAATTCTTCCATTTCCACCACTACTTCTCAACCTAATTTCTTTAATTGCAACTATTTTTAGTATAATAATACAAACCACGACAAAATCTATTGGGAGGAAGAAAGGAAGCATAATTTTTTTATTTAAAAAATAATGTTATTTTGCAGTAATAATACTTCTCCTTGTTACAAAAGCTGGACCGGCTGGGTCACTGTTTCTGTTCAGGACAACTGGCTGCAAGGAGGTAATGTGAAAGAAGTAATTGATTTTTGAGCAAACTTTGGCTTAGCATTTCTAGTTTGGCGGCATTTATGGAAATGCAAGGCAGTGACATGAAACAGCAACCAGTAGTCAGCTTCCTCCCCATCTTTTCCATGTCTCTTTTATTTATAAATAAAATGCCAAGCCTGGAAAATTAAGGGGAAAACAAGAATTGCACTGAACAGGGGCCAAGTGTGTCCCCTTTAAGCTATACCTGCATATGTAATGCCACACTAATGGGTCCCAGGGGAAGGTCTGCAAGGGAACAGCAAGCAGCTGATTGATTGGAGAGCTAGGCCAGTTTGGAGTGTTTATTGGTGGCTTTTGGCCCAAGGATGATGAAATCTGTTGCACAACAGCACTAGTGGTAGATGGCCTAAGGAACATCATCCTCATTTTTTCCAGGAGAAAACTCCCAAGTGGTGTAGTGGTTATATTGTAGATGGGCCAAGGAATTCTGAGGGCCAGACTAAACATGACATCTGTTGCCTGAGTGTGGTTATTGTACATACGTGTATTCTGTATGGGTGTTATTATACAACCGAAGCTAAGGGAAAGTCCAAGTAACTGCCCTTCAAATGCAGCTAAGAGCACTAGAGAAGTCATTTTTATCCAGAGGATGGTGAAAAGAGAAATAATTTAGCTGCACGTCCCCATGGCCCCCAAAAGCCCACCTGGGCTCATATTAGTTGAACCGTAGTGCTGAAGCCCACCCCCGAGACACATGCAGCCGCGCACACGCCTGCCTCAGCAAGCTTCTGGATACGGCAGTCACTCTGATGGAGAATCTACCTTGGCTTGGTCTTTTATTTATAAATAAAAGAGGCATGGAAAATATGGGGAGGAAGCCCATGGTTACTGCTGCTGAGAAAGGAAAAGGGGTAGATTCACTAGGAAAGGCAAAAGATGAATGAAAATTGACCGAAATGAGGTGACGGGAAGTGGTAACTAGACAGGGAAGGAAGGAAAACACAGAAGCCATGTTCACATATTACAAAAACTCGCAAGATGAACAAGCCCTGTTAAGGACAGGCTTATTTCACACTGATGTTCAAAGATGGCTACAGCAGTAAGGTCTGAGCCTCTTCCATCACACAAGCATGGACAGGACAGTGTTACCTTTCTCCAGTACTGTTCTGTAACAGCTGTGCAGGGGCTGTTTTGTCTGTAGTTTAAGAAGGAGTGTGTAGGCATCCTCTCAGTAGGTGGCAACCTCTAGCCAACTCTGTCTGGCCTAAGCAGGGTGAACCCGGTTAGTACTTGAATGGGAAAGTTTCAAAAAATCCCATGATTTCAGGCTAAAATGGGAGGGTTTTTTTTAAAAAAAATTGTATTGCAATTTTAAAAAAATAGAGAGAAAACAATATAGGGAAACAAAAGAGATTAATATATGTACATCCCAACAAATGAATTAGTTTTAATTATAATACCAGAACAAAAAGAAAATAAGCCAGAAAAGGAAAATCTCTAAATAATTAATGACAAAATTCATTTAAATTACCTATTTAATATGTCATGTGTTCCTATAATAACAATATAGTAGGTTACACATAAAAATGTGTGTGTTCTTACAAAATAATCAGAAATCTGTGCCAAAGGAAAACATATTGTCATTTTTTGATTAGTAGAAAAAAACAGCCTTTTCAGAAATGAGTAAGTTACACATTTCTTGAATCCAGTCTTTGATATCCAGGGTAATAGTACTTTTCCAGTTACTGAATATAATTCTCTTGGCTATTCCAGAACAAGGCTGTGGCAGACCACGTCTGCCCCAAGGAAACCAGCTGGACATGAAGTCACTGAGTTGAGATTGACTTGAAGCTTGAGAGCCCTCTCCTCCATAAAGAGTTTGCATATTTAAAGATTGATGCCAAGGGCATTTTCCAACCCAGGCACTCAAATGTCTTCCCTAAGCTAGCCTTAGATCAGTTGTCCTTAACCTGGATCCCTCCAGATGGACTGTGATTGGAACTCCCAGGATACCCAGCCAGCCTGTGGCCTGGACATATAGGGGTTCTAATTCCAACTCACCTGGAAGATGTCTGATTCATACAGGCTGCTTTGGGGATGTTGCTATTGTTGCTCTTTTTAGAAAAAAAAAGAAAAGCTTCTGGAAGTATTCCAGTTCTCTCTTCAGATTCCCCAGCCTTGGGGCTTTTGTCTGAGTTGCTTTCCCTTCTCAAAGGGATTCTGTAGGTGAGGTTTTCCTGCCGGAGCTCCAGCAGTTTTAACATGAATAAGCATTATAATATCTAGATATTTTGTTGTTGTTGTTTCTTTTCCAGGTGGTGGATGTGGCAGGGGCAGCTCTGAAATCTGACAGTCTTTCTTCCACATGCACAGAGGAGATTTGCATTAGGTATACAGTATATTGCTGAGCCTTGTGTGTCAGCTTCTTTGGCTTATTTTTCTTCCCTGCCATTTAAAAGTGAAAGCTGTGTCCTTGGAGGATCAGATGAACTCACTGAACTCAGTGGCCTTTCCACAAGGAAACAGCTTATCACTTTGAAACTGAATAGCTTTCTAGCTTGCTTTTCTTTTTCTTTTTCTTTTTCTTTTTCTTTTTCTTTTCCTTTTCCTTTTCCTTTTCCTTTTCCTTTTCCTTTTCCTTTTCCTTCCTTTCCTTTCCTTTCCTTTCTTTTTCCTTTCTCTTTCCTCTTCTTTCCTCTTCTTTTCTCTTCTTTCTTTGAACAATGTCATTCTTTTACAACAATATGAACTTCCTAATTGGAATGCCATAAAAGCTGTTTTACCACTTTAAAAGCGCTGGTACAACTATAGTTCAAGGTTGGTTTTGCTCATTTCTTCTTCCCCCTAAATGGGTCCTAAAAATAATCCTGGAATGTTGGTTCAAATATTACACCTGTCAGGAACATTCCGTAAAAAGATGTGTTTGGTTTAAGGTGGTCCAGACATGTTATGTGTATGCCTAGGGGTATTCTGAATCACGGTTTGCCCTTTGAATCCATATTTCTGCACAAGCCTAATAAGAAGTAAAATAAGATAGTGTGACCTGTGTGGGTCTTTGGTGTGCCTTGTAAACTTGTTCTTGAACTGTCATGTTCACTCCCCCAGCATTAATTAAAAGTTTGTCTCGTCTCTCTGCAGACTTATGCCTCTTTCTGTCAGAGGTGGGGAACTTGCGGCCTTCCAGATGTTGCCAAACTACAGCTCCTAACAACCCCCTGCCAGCAATGGTTAGCAATTGGGGATGCTGGGAACTATTATTGGAAAATAATACGAATTATTATTATTATTATTATTATTATTATTATTATTTAATTATTATTATTATTATTATTATTCCATGGAAGTACACTCATTGGAGAGAAGAGATTGTATCCTTGCAAATATTTCTTATATCTTCTAACTGGAGGCTTAGCCACCTAACAAGAATATCTGGGAACTATTATTGGAAAATAATACGAATAATAATAATAATAATTATTATTTAATTATTATTATTATTATTATTCCATGGAAGTACACTCATTGGAGAGAAGAGATTGTATCCTTGCAAATATTTCTTATATCTTCTAACTGGAGGCTTAGCCACCTAACAAGAATATCTGGGAACTATTATTGGAAAATAATACGAATAATAATAATAATAATTATTATTTAATTATTATTATTATTATTATTCCATGGAAGTACACTCATTGGAGAGAAGAGATTGTATCCTTGCAAATATTTCTTATATCTTCTAACTGGAGGCTTAGCCACCTAACAAGATAAGTGTTGGGCAATAATCTCCCTTGGTATTACATGCCCTCAGGAGTTTAAAGCCATTCCTGAGGAAAAAAAACTATAACCAGGAAGAAAACAAAAAGCAGCAGCAAGATGCAAGTCAGAGAGTTTATCCAAAGAGTCTCCCTGGCCGCCTTGCATCTAATCTTTAACATCAGTGCACAAAAGTGACTATACCCGAGCTAGTGCTTAGGGCACTGAGTTCAATGAGCTATATGGCCCAAGAGATTTGGGTTAAATGACCTTGCAGAGAGATGGAGCGATAGTTCAGCTTTTGTGTATCTTGTATGTGTGTGTATGTGTTTGAGAAAGAGGACTTAGGAAATGAAAGCCCTTATTCAAGTAAGGAGAAGGGGAAATGCAAGAAGATGGACTGTTACATGCTGCACCCTTATGAGCCAACACACCCTGGCAGAAAATGTGGAACTGAGTAACAGAAAACCATGATAACAAAGGGGTAGAGATCTAACCACACAGAGAATATTTGGTGCTTGGTTTCACATCCTTTAGGAGACAGAGTAAGCCAGTAAGGCTATAGGAATATTTTAAGTTTGTGGCAACCATGGATTCTAATATGCAGTGCAGTTTGGTCAGGGGTGAAAAACAGCAAATGGAGAGGGGATAACTCAGTTGGATTGTCACCTGGCATCAGCTATTTCTTGAAAATGAGGGAAGAGAAGAAGGCTGCTCTCACCATCACTTGGCACAGTTCAGCAGAGGGCCATTTCATGGGCTCAGCTGGCAGCTGGCAATTTCTGCTCCTCAGACTGTTTCCATTCCAGCTGGTTGTTAGAAAACTTTTATAAAAACTCAAGCCTGAAACTGCTATATTCCTCCTTCCTGCCTTTACTTTCTATGTATGTCTTTTTAAAAATAATTAGAAGTTTTGTCAGAAAACTGAGGTAGTTGTTCTTTTGCTCTGTCAAATCATGACATTATGGATAAAAGCTCTCCATGCCATCCTATCTTTCACCACATGACGTAATCCTTACAGGTGCATGTCCTTGATTCATGTGCTGTTGTCCTTTTCTCCTTCTGTCTCTTTGTCTAGTGTTGTCATCTTTTTCATAGATGCATCAGCCCTCATGATATATCCAAAGTATGATCATTTTTGTTGCATGATCCTTGCTTCCAGTGAGCATTCTAGCTTCAGTTCTTCTATAATTGAACAATTGGCTCTCTTGGCTGTCCAAATAATGAAGCAATCTTCTTCAGTACCATAACTCAAAGGAGTCCATCTTTTTCCTCTTGCTCTTATGCCATCCATCCATCCCTCGCATCTTGTACATCATTACAGGGAATATCACTGAAGGGACGATTCTGACTTTTGTCTTTGTTTATCTTAATGAGTTTGTCTAGGCTCTTGATGCCTTTTTGCCCACCTTTTTGCACACCCACCATCTTTATCAATTCTTGAGGCTGAAAAATGGTAACTGTCAACTACTATCATCTCATTGTTTATCATAAAACTAGAAGAAAATGAGGTAACAACAATGATGATAATAATGATGATGATGTTCCAGACCTAGTAGAATTTTATCTATTCTTTTTTAAAATAAACTCTTCAATTATTGGTCATGCCCATCCCAAATACTGTCGCTGTGCAAGTCAAGTCCCTTCTGCTGTGTGATATGGGAAGCAGTGATCAGACATTCTGGCAAAGATCTCATTGGACAAACTATCCTCCTCCTACAGTTATTCAGCCCTTGATAGCAGTGATTACTGGGAAACCACAGCTTTTAAGAATTGGCATACTTTTCTCATGTCCTGAAAGCAAGATGATGAGTCTCATCATGGTTTCAAGCTAGACCATTATGATACCAACTTCATTTTATGTGTTATGCTATCTAGAATCCTTTTACTCTGATTTGAAGACTTTCCTTTAATAAAGTGGTTCCCAACCTGTATGAGATCATTGCTGATTCACAGGGGTGCTACATGTGGTCTTTAATGCTGGCACCCATATAGGTGTGCGTGTTCTAGATAGATGGATGGACGGACAGACAGACATCTCAGGAGACTGACAATTCTTGCAAGATGTTCACATACTTGAAATTTCATGATATTTTGGCATTTTTGTCCAATGTCTTATAGGATTTCAAGTGAGAACACCAACATCTCCTGAGATTTGTTAATCTTCTGAAATGTTGACTATTTCATGTCATTTTATTTACCTTTAATTGACTGTAAAATTGAGCTCTACCAAATACCATTGGGGGCTTATATGTACCATGGTGCCAACAGACTATTGGCTCATATGCTGGTCCTCCAAAGCTTTCAATGATGACATTGTGAACCATATAAAGGAAACATGTGCAAAGTGCTACTTCAATGGGTCTTGAATCTTTGTAGTTAGCTAGAGTGCAGAGAAACAAATGCTGCATCTACCAGTTCAGACATACTTCTGTTCTCAGTTCTTCCCTTCTAGGTAGAGCTCACCTGTTGCCAGGATTGATCCCTGGTTCAAATTACACCTTAAGTGTGACAAGCAGACCTGAACTTGAGGGATGCACTGGTGTCCCATGGATGTAAGAGGACAGAAACTGGCTGACATTCACCCTCCTTCTCTTCCATAGGCCAATCTTCTGTATTCACTTGAGTTAATGTTGAAAAATGACATCCAGTCACATCTCTGGGACATTTTCCAGCATAAATGTTGCCCTGGAGCTCTAAGTTCAGCGGTATCTCCAAAGGCAAGCAATTATTACTAGCTTATCATCTGTTTTATCACTGGCCTATCTTTCCCAACAGCAGCAATTATCCACACAGAATGGCAATCCCATCCTGCTAGCTTGTATTGTAAAAAGATCAGCAATGTAACCTCTGTCACCATGCTTTATTTAGAGGCCTGAGGGGAGCAGCACGTATTCCATCCCAAACTACTCTTCCACTTTTTCCAGAATGCAGAGGACAGCACTGGATCAACTGTCTCATCACTTGCTGTGTACCATTCAGTACATGTCAGAAGCTATAGAGAGAAGAGCCCCCCTCCCCAAAAAAACCCTCCCACCTTGACTCATTATCTTTATTCCTAATTTGTCCTCTTGGGAATCCTTCCAGTTGACCTCAGTCACTTGCTTAGCTCTAAAAAAGTCTGGCAAACCATTCACATTTTTGTCAGTTCAGAAGTACGTCAAAACTAATATGGCATGAATCACAAGAGTCTCAGTTGACAATTCCTACTGCTCCAGACTTTGGCATTGCTTCGGGTTTTTGTGTAACCTTCTTTCAACAAACTCATTCAAGAGACTTGTATGATGGGTACAAATGCAAATTGCTGATAACCCAACTGAAAGGTTCTAGCTGTTTGTTTTATCAAAGTCCCCTGCTTCCTAGACTGAAAGTGCCTGCTATCTTTTTAAATTGGACCAGATTTTGTGGTCTGACAAAGAAAATGTAGCTTGCTAACCGCATATAATTTGTTCCATTAAGATTTGAATACTGACAGGCTTCCTGAAGTGAGATCTTTCGAGCTATTTAGGCTAATTCTGGAAATACACCTGTGGAAATGAGATTTTGCTAAACAGACTTTTTTTTAACCTATTCTCAGATTTCAGTAACAGTATGAGCCCCCTAAATCCATTCAGTGCTAACTAAGAGGAGGATCAAGGATAATGATTTTCATTATGATCATTTAAGAAAATGTACTTTAAAATCAGCAGAAACAGAGACTGGAAATACCTCCTATTGGCTGGGCTGATCATGATATCATTCTTCTTCCTTCTCCACCACATTAGTTATGCATAATTGTATTCCAGCATAAATTATAAGGTATGCTAGACAGTCACACTGTGCTTCATCAAAGGGCTTTGCATATTTCACAATCTCAACTAATACTTAAAACAGCAGAAAGAGGCTTTTGTATGTATATTTTTTATGTACGTATGTGCAAAAGTTTCTTCTGGCTACTTTCAAGGTTGCGGAGGAGGGCTCAGTGGTATAACAAAGCAAAGTGATGGCTTTGTCTTGCTTTATTTTACTTTTTTTGATTGAGCAACATCCTTAATAGATTGTCAGAACACTGTGGATATAATATGTCTTTTCTCTAGCAAAGCATCTGAAGTGCCCCATGAAATTATAGGTTAATTTTCTCAGGGGTATGTTTGAGCTGGAGACCAGAACACTTTGGTTTGAAGCACAAATTGCTTATAGACAGTGCTGGTGATAAAAACAGACTTAAAGAGGGGAGGGAATAAATCCCTCCTTATAAATTTACACAGATTTGACTATACTTGTGATTGGATGCAACAGCAAGGTAATTGATTGGATACAGACAATAGCAAGCATTTGATTGGATATATATCACATCATGTATATATCACTGAATTCAATGAGGCAATTAGAGTGTAATTATGTGGTAATGGAACAAGACTACAAAGACAAATTAGAAAGTGTTTTGAAAGAACAAAGAGGTGGTTATTCTATGAACATAGTTTCTTCTAGGGAGTTACTTTCTTTTGCTTTTCCAGAGCTCTGCTCGGCTCCCAGGATCCTTCTCAGCCTTTCAGCATTCCTTGGCCTTCTAAATGTTTTATAGGTGAGCTGAGAGCTTTAGTTCCCTTGGGAAAGAGTATTCGAGTTAGGGGCTTAATCCCCCCCCCCCAAAAAAAGTCTCCTTCAAGAAACTGATTAGCAAACTAGTTAAGCATGAGCCACACTGCATAACCATAAGGCGGATCCACCATGGGCTTTAAAAAAGTACTGAGAGTTTACCAACAATTCCTCTTTAAACTGAAGTATCATCTGCAGTCCTATAAGGATCAATCCTGTGCCTAACAACCCTTCACCATTGTTGTTAATGGACTTGATGAAGTTCCAGGGGGAATGCTAATCAAATTGGCAGATGGCATAGAACTGAGTGGAATAGCTAATACTGTAAAAGACAGGAACAAATTCACAACAATCTTGATATCTTGGAGATGTGGGTTGAAAATAACGTAATAAATTAATAGAGACCATACAACATGGCCTCTATTAGGGAAAATGAATCAAATTCAGCATTATGAGATGGGATATCTGCCTTTGTAATAGTATTGTGAAAAGAATATTTAGAATTGTTGGCCAATACAACTCAATAGTGTGATATAACTGTTAAAAAGGTAATCAGCCTTAGGTTGTTTCAATAGAAACATAGATTCCAACTCAAGGAAGAAATAGTGAGCTTCCATAGCTAAGGGTGGATTTGGGCCTGCTTCTCTCTTGACCTATTCCAGCAGCTTGTCTATATGATACTGGCTCTCAGTTGCTAAAGATGTATATTTCTCTGCCTGGCACAGTACAAGGCTTGGGTGTTGTGTCTACCAAATGGCTTGGAATCCGAACAAATTCTAAAGAAGAATCAGTGTTTGTACTTGCGTGAAGTACAAATTGCACCTATAAAAAACTGGAGCTTTTTTTAATTGCCTCAACTGGAAAAACTAAAGGAATAATTTAACTTTAACTAAATGGATCTCCAAGAGCCCAGAGGTTAACTTATTTCTCCTCTTCCCTCCAGCTTTCCTTTAGAATGAGCTGAAGGAAATATTTTCATTCCTCCATTTTTCAGGCTTAGCCAACCTGATGCTCTCCAGAAGAACAGCATTGTAATTCAGATAACACCCAGCAAACATGGTCTGTGCATCCTAGAAAATGTAGTCCACCACATCTGGAGGGCACCAAGTTGGGGAAGGTTATTCTGGAAAGTTCACTTTGCCCTGTTGTGAATGCCAGTTGAGCTAAGAGCATTTCTAAAGTTAATTCTGGAACTACATGTCAGGCTGACCTTTCGGTATGATTTAAGTTCCCAGAAGATGGAGACCTTGCCTATATTCTTCCAAGACCTGTGTTTATAGAAGGAAGGATTAAAAATTGTTCTTACATGGTATGATAATCCATGTATTTTGTATAATCCTAGATGGCCTTGAGAAACTGATCACCTCTGCATTCTTCCAGTGAATTTCACCTCTTGTTTATTTCCATGAATCTTGGGTTGTAGAATAAATATCATCAATCACTACAAATCATTTGGCATCTTGAAACACTTTCTTCAGTAGGGCACTTTCCTTATACGTATGTTAGATTGTGGTGCTAAATTCCTAGCTGCATGTGCTAGAATGATGCCAGATTGAGACAGACTTTGACTTTAGGGGAGGCAAAGATAGAATTGGATACAAAATTTAGCAGAGATGATTGACCTATTCAGATTCTTTCCTTGAAGATTGAGGCATTTATATAAAGGGGTATTGTGGTTGTTTTTACAAAGAGCTGATAAAACCTACCTTTGCATTGCAAATACATGTTAGCTATACTGCATGTAAGTTAGTAGTTTGGGCCTCTCTTGTTTGTTTATTGATAAAGGCTTTACAACTCCCTGTTGCAATCTTTATCACTGAAATGGGCTTCTGTCTAAGCTCTTATTTAGTCTGTGGGAGGGAGGGGGGATATTGCAAAATGTATTCTACTCTTTTCACATGCTGCTCCTCCTCAGTGATTTCCCCAGCATGTTAATTGCTGCTTAAACTAAAGTCCTTTCTAAGGAAAAGCTTTGATCATTTTATTTGTTACACTAATACTCACCTTTACTCTAAGAAATTCAACATGCAAACCCTGTAAAGTATCTTAAAATAGATTATGTGGCTGGGTCAAAATCAGTTCCTGAGCTCCAAGGCTGAGGGAAGACCCATATGTGAGTCTTCACAATATAAGGCTGTCACCCTACTAGCCTTTCCTAGTCTGGTATCTTTCAGATATGTGTGGAACTTGGTGGGAATTCTGGAAGTTGTAGTCCCACCTCCTTGGAATCACAAGGCTAGGGAAGGCTGCCTTCATTCATAATCAGTCTGTCATTAAATATATGGTGGTTTCTATTTAGGGTTAGGATTAAGAGTTACATTCTCTGCAGCAGCTGAGAATCATTTAATCTTCAACCCATCTTCTGAACTATGCAAGAACAGGGCCTTTGTAAAGGCCCCCCCTCCCCCATATTTCTTCCATCTGGTTTTATACCCATGTATGTTTAAAAGTAAAACAAAACAAAGATAAAAGTAGATATTTGAAAAAAGAGGGCCTGCAATGAAATGTTGCAATGTGGAAGGCTTTCCAGCAGGATTCCACCTTGGCAGTTTTTTTCCCAAGATCCTCCACTCTGCACCCTGCATTTCAACAGGCAGCAAGCATGAACCAGGCACTGAATGTATTTGATTCTCACTGACTATTACAAAGTTTTCCCCATTAAGATTATTTAAGAATGGTATATTGCGAATCCTGGAGTTTCCCCAAGCCTGCTAGTAGTTCTCTCTTCCAAATGGATGGCAATGTTTTTTCCACACAGGTGCTCAGACCCAAAGGTTGGAAATTGAACGAAAACCTACCCTCCCAGGCATGAATATGTGTCCCCTCCCCATCCCCTATTCTATAGCCATGCCATCTAATTAGAAGGGTGCAAGTACCGAGATCTCTAATGTCATAAAGCCCTTTAGCAGGAAGAGAATCAGGAAAGAGCAGCCATTGATGTCAAGATATAACTAACTTCCTCCTTTGATGGTATGTGTTTCAGGTATGGTTGCTACGTTCAGTAATTCCCTAATCACAGCTGAAGTAGCAGAACAACCCAACAGAGCCTGCTTAGAAAGATGTAAGATGGAACAGTGATTCTATGTTATTTGGCCACTTCTATAGGTGAAGGTTAGGGACTTCCAGGAAGTTGCAAGAGCACTTATGTGGCATCATATGGCACTATCATGCATAGTTTGGAAATAATTGCACTTGTGGGCAGTTATTGGGTTGCACCCATGCATCTACAAATGGCTTTTTTGTTTCTTTTTTCCTTAAAGAATGGGATAATGCTGTGCCAACTCTTCCCATCCTGGCACCCTCAGATACATACAGATGGCAAATCTTTGAATACCAACCAGCATTCTGTATCCCTGACTCATATAGAGGGTAAAAGCCTGGGATGTTCTCCTATGTCATCCCTGAAGGCTACCATCCTTCCCTGGGAGACAGTAGAGACAAAGGAAGGCAGCCTGTCTCTCCTGTGAAGCAACCAGGGAAATATTCCCAATGAAAAGCAGTAGCTCACTACATTAGGTAAAGAAATTAATATTTCCTATGTGTTTGGGGAATATTTTTCTCTCCTTATTTCTTGATTCAATTAGTGCTGCATTCATCTATGTTAGCTGCAGACACAGGCAGAAGAACTATCTCCCTTCCAATGAGGAAACTTTTAAAGTCCCCAGTAGTATCCAGGTGTTCAGGAATAGGTCCCATGGAGGTCAGGAGAGATACCTCCTGTTAGCAATAAATGAAACCTGCAAAGATGGAACATTAGCTGGATTATGCCCAAGGCTTGGCTCCCTTACAGCAGCCTTTCCCATCCTTTTAGCCTCTGGATGTGTTGCACTATAACTTCCACCACCCATAGCCACTTCCATGTGATATGTCTTTCAAGTTTAACTCTCTCTAGTGTTCTTAGCTCACACCTATTGGTTTTCTGTAACCATTTAGCAGCATTCAGATCCATATCTATTCGAAAATTCTGAAATTAAGCATTGCAAACAAAAGTTGCCTTGGATTTCCCCTTCCAGATGCCCTATAACAGCAAAGGCTGCAGAACACAAGCTTGTACCAGCATGAAAGCAGATGCAAAATCAGTTAAAGATGGCTTGAATGTCTCTAAGTAATTTCCAGAGCTCAGTGAAAGGTCTGAACATGCTCTTAAATGCAAGAAGTTATATTCAGCAAGTATGATAGTCCTGCTTAATTGGCAGTTGCCCAGTGAGATTTGAGACTGGCCTGGCATTCCTAGGGTTGCAACAGCATTCTCAAATTTCCCATGCAAGCAGCATTTTTTTGCAAAGGAGACTTACTTCTCTGCCTTTCTCAAACCCAATGAAAATAAGTGCTTTGGCCTGTTTTAAAGCATCATAGTATTATTTCCTTGCTTATCAACCAGAAATCCAGGTTGATTAAAGCAAAGGAAAGCAAAAATATTATCCATCAGCTGATTGGGGAAGGGCAGTCTTCTGATTATGATGACACAGGGGGAGAGATGAACCAGTCATCGGTGAGAACAATGTCTTGCTTGGTGGTGGGCATTCAAGTGACCCATCAGTGGGAAAGCCAAAAGAAACAGAATGCAGGAGGTTTTTGATCCCATCTTCCAGTATAGCTTTTTCTTTTAAAATCCCTTTAAAGGGGTTATAATAAAAGGCTGTCATTTTTGTAGCTGCTACACCAGGCCTTCAGCAGAAATGAGCATCCTGTACGAAGCCCATCTTTTTCCCTTGGGGATATAGATGGGGAACAACACAACTGGAAGGGGTAAACAAAACCAAACAAACCCCCTATGTCCTTCTCAGAATTGATGATCCATTTAGCATGAGTAGTCCCCATACAAAAATAACGTATTTTATAGCCCTGAGATAAATGTGGAAAAGTGCCCCAAAATAGATCTTTTTCATTTACTGTATTAGCTTTCTCTTCCACCTCTTCTCCACATACTTAAGGGGGAAGGGGGGGAGAGATGCTACATGATTTCCCTTTCTCATTTTATCCCCACAAGAAGCCTGTGAGGTAGCTTACGGTGAGACATGACTGGCCCAAAATGAGCCACTATGATTCATGGCTGAGTGAATAACTGAACCTGATTCTCCAGGCCAAGCCAAACACTCTAATCTCCCACAGCACAAACATTTGTTGTAACTTATCAAATAGAGTGCTTGATTTTCATGTTGCCTGTTCCAAACAAGCAACAGTTACGTAAATCAAGATGCTGCTATCTACTGGCAAATAAAGGGGACACAATTGTAATGGTACTTTAATTTTATCCTTTTTGTTCTGATGCTCTTTGAATGAAGTCGAATAGCCTGCTGGGCAACAAATTAATGGATCTAGAGGAGGTGTTAATAACCTCTTGTAGACCATTTTTGCATTTTTGTCCTGCTGAAACCATGTTTTCTTTGGAAACCCTCCAAAATATGATTTGTCCAGCTCTCAACCTTCCCCATATGAAAGTATCCTTCCTTAAAGGTTATACCATCAAAGAAAGGCAGAGCCCTGACTGAATGACAGAATCCCTGAGTAGGAAGAGGCCCATGGAGCCATTAAGCCGAACCACCTTGCCAAGTACAGGAATCCAAATCAAAACATCCATAACCAATGACCCTCCTAGTGAAGGAAAGTCCACCACCAATGGCATCTGCATTAAACTGCAATGATGGCAAAACAACGTGCTTACAATGATGTCATCACACATATGTTGCATCAGACACAAGTCTATAAGTCCAGGCGTTTATGTGATAACAGCATTGCACACACATTGTCATTTGGTCCCACCCATACTATGTGCACCAATCTCTCTGAATAAATATTTCCACTCTTAAACTGCTCTTAATATTAGGAATCTTTTTTTCAATACTCTGTGGGAATCTGCCCTCCATTTCTTCAGTTCTGCATCCTGCATTCTAGGATGATAGAGAACAGATCTTGTCCATCTTTTCTGTGATATTCCTTTAGCTATTTAAAAAGTGTCATATTCCCACAAGAAATATAATATTTACGTGGCTCTTGGCAGTAGTATTAGAATCGAGTTAGATGTTTCAGCACTCATCTTTGACCTTAACAACAACACCTTATTGTGTCTATCTAATGAACGCCTTTTTTTCTCTCTGTCCTTGCTAGAAATTGAGCATACATCAGTATAGCTCATTTAAAACCGAGGACAGGTGGAGAATGGCTGTTAGAAATGTTCACTTTTAAGAGTGAAATTGAAGACAGTGATTTAAAGGTCTCACTAAGCTAACAAGCACAGCTTTCCTTTGCCTTCCTGTCATATCAATACCATATGGCTGACATAAATGCTCCTTTCCCATTTCAGAATCTTCAGAAACAGCTTATGAAAAATGAATAGTAGTTAAGGAGTGGGTCGGTTCCTCCAAGCTGATAGCACATGCCAAATAAGGCAGTTTGCAATCTAGTAGGATCAGTTTGTAGTCTACTTCATTTTTATAAGTCAGCAACTTCCTAGTTTACTCGGAATTTTAAAAAAGCAGAATTAGAAG